GGAAGCTCCTCTGCTTCCAGACTGTTCTAGCCAAGTAGAACACAGCTTTCCTCTCGTCTGTGGTGGCACAATGGAGTGGCAGAGCGGAGAAGCATGGCACTACTGAAGCACCTGAAAGGGATTGTTCCCACGCCTCTGAGGGATCCCGGCAGGCTGAGCCCGAGGACATGGGTTCCAATTTTAGGAGGAGTGAAAAGCTCCCAGCCGCTCTAAAAGGCAGGCATTTGACTTCAAACAGGTGTAGCCTAGTTTCCCCAAATCCCATCTGTGACGCTACAGCCTTCCCCAAAGATGAGAGTGTGGAGTGGTGCTAAGCCCCTGTCAAACGCCTGTGGGCACGAGGCCCCTTGAAGTGAGCTCCCTCCCTGCTTGGGTTCCTGCTCTGAATCCATGCAGGGGAAGGGAGCTTCCTAAGCATCCCTACCCTCATGATACTGGAAATGATCGTCTCCACTGGCACCGTTGCTTCCTTCAGGAATCAGAGGGAGCGACGATTTGATTCGGTTTGGTTTTGAGATGGGTCCTCCTGTAGCCCTCTATTTTACTATGTAGTGTCAGTGCAAAATCACTGCTCTTGCTGGGCTGTGGTGGCGCACGCCTTTAATCCCAGCACTCAGGAGGCAGAGCCAGGCGGATCTCTGTGAGTTCGAGGCCAGCCTGATCTACAGAGAGAGTTCCAGGACAACCAGGGCTACACAGAGAAACCCTGTCTCGAAAAGGCAAACAAACAAAACAAAACGAACAAACAAAAACACTGCTCTTGCCTCCAAAAGGAAGAAGAGACAGATTATCTGGAGCCAAATCTTAGTGGTCATGGCCAGGAAAACATATTCTCCAAATAGCTCGTTCCACTACGGAAGTGGTTATGTGAGCTCTTATTAGTTACAGGACAAAGAAATCAAATATTTACCGAGGGTAATTTTTACCAAATGTTTTACCAATGATAAATCGAAGTATTTATGAAGGGCAGTAGTGGGGACCACAGGTAGGTGGGTCACAACAGATCTAGTGATCTGGTAGGAATATATTCTAAGGGCTCCTAGTCACAAGGAGATTAGATCAGACACGGGTGAGGGCAGTGGATGGCTTTCAAAGAGACTAAAAATAACCCAAGATAATTTGGTTCTGGTCTGCAACATTTTAATGATCCATAATCTTCCAAGTTCAGTCATTTGGCCTCATAGAATATTTATCACAGGTACAGCCTCCACCCCCTCAATCCCTGTTTCTGTCTCTGTCTTGTTCTCTCCCTCTAGGAACTCCAGTTCATATTAGCAAAGAACAATCTCAAACTCACAACTCTGACTCCACCTCCCAAGTGCCGAGTTATCGGGGTACGCCACCATGCCCAGTTTCTTCAGTGCTGGGCATGACCCAGGGCTTCCTTCATGCTAGGCAGGCTCTCTACCAACTGAGCTACATCCCCAGCTGTTTGGTTTTGTTTATTAAGACAGTGTCTCTATGGACTGGGAGGTGGCTCAACAGTTAAAAGCACTGGCTGCTCTTTCAGAGAGCCGGGGTTCAGCTCCCAGTATCCACATGGCAGCTCACAACCATCTGTAACTCCAGTTCGAGGGGACCCTCACACCTCTACCTATACCAGGCACTCATGTACATACATGCAGGCAAAACATCCATACATGTAAAATAAAATTTTTAAAAATATGTATTTTTTAAAAGCCACAAGTAGTGGCACACCCCTTTAATCCCAGCACTTGGGAGGCAGAGGTAGGCCGATCTTTGAGTTCAAGACCAGCAAGTCTCAGGACAGCTAGGGTTATACAGAGAGACCCTGTCTTAAAAAAACAAAAATAAAAAAGCAAAACAATAAAAAAACCACAGTGTCTCTAGGGCTAGAGAGATAGTTCAGCTCTTGAGAGCACTGGCTGTTCTTCCAGGGAACCCAGGTTCAATTTCTAGCACCCACACGGCAGCTTACAAACCGTCCATAATTCCAGCCCCTCCAGGGGCACCGCACACTTGCAGTGTAGACATGCATGCAGACAAACATCCATGCGTGTTAAATAAATATTTTTTTAAAAGAAAACATCTCATTGCATAGCCCATTCTGGCCTCCAACTCAGTAATCCTCCTGCCTCAACCTCCCAGGTGCTGGGATTACAGATGTGCTCTACCAAGCCCAGCTATGGACGGTGATCTTAAAAAGCCAAGTGTTCCCTAAGCATTATAGTACAGACCTGTAATTCCAGCACTCCTGAGACTAAAGCAGGGGAATCACAGTTCTGAGGACAACCTGGGCTACATAGTGAGACTGGGAGCGGGCCAAAATACGAAACTTATGCTACTTTCCTATGTGTCCCTTTAGTTCTAGAAAGGCCTCTAGCCAGGCCTCAAATGGCTGTAGTACAGGGCGGAAACGTGAGTGGAGCAGACCAGAGTAATGGAGACAGTGGGGAGTGTGGGGGACCAGCTCCCACATTTATTTACCCCAGGGAAAGAGAGGAGAGAAACAGAGAAAAACAGGATAGCCTCGGGTGGGCCTGGATCCTTATCCACTGGCCCAGAACTTTAGTCCAAAGGTCTATTTACAACAATGCCAAGGGGCGGGGCAAAGGACCTCCTCTTTGCTAGTTACAGCCAAGTGTAGACCCTCACAAACACCTGGTACCCAGGCCCGTATGGGGTCCCATCAACCTCTTATGCAGTCATGCTGCGTACAGTCACTAGGAAACCTAGTGAGCTACAACAGGGGAGTAGCTGGGACTGCAGTAGACCAGAGATGTCTTGAAAGGCAAAGGCATTTCTCAACTGGAATTCAGGCCATGAATACATATTACATGAAATTTCTTAATTAGAAGTATTCATGAACCAAGCTGAGCCCACGAGCTGGAGACGGTTAGCCATCTGATTCACTGGGTGCAGACCCTTCCCTCTGAAGCCGGGAAGGAAGGAAGGAGTTCCTAATTGCTGATGTTCTGACCTGTGTTTTCTAAAACTGGCGTGTGCTGTTGGCTTATCCACAGTAAACGCTCTCATCTAGCGAGCGGGTCTTGAGCCTTTACACTGCTGGGTGATGGGGTGAGTCAGGCATGGGACCTACCTCCCCCGGTGAGCAGACAGCACACAGGAGGATCCAAGCTGCTCACAGATAACCGTAAAACTGGATACACAGTGGGGCTAAGAAAATGGCTCAGCAGGGAAAGTGCTTGTTGCTCCAGCATGAGGACCTGAGTTCAATCCCCAGCACCGAGTACTAAGCCAGGCCTGGTGGCGTGTGATTGTGATCCCAGCCCTGGGAAAGTGGGCAGGCAGACCCCGGGGCTAGTCAGCTAGCCTGGCTTAAAAACAGCAAGTCTCAGGTCCCAGTGAGAACCTATCTCCAAAAAAAGGGTGGATGGCTCCTGAGAAAGGACACCCAAAGTTGACCTCTGACCTCCACAATATGTACACACACCTGCACATTACAGTTCATGCGCGCACACACACACACACACACACACACACAATGTACCTTGAAAAAGGAAGAACATGGCCTATGAATGTGACTCAGTAAGACTGCTTGCTCTGCAAGCATGAGAACCTGAGTTCAAATCCCACCTCCCATGTAAAAAGCCAGACATAGATGGGTGTGTCTGTAGCCCCAACACTGGAGGATGGAGAAAAGCAGATCACAGGAGTTCACTGGCCAGACAGCTGAGCTGAAGCAGCAAGCTTCCGGTTCAATGAGAGACCCTGCCTCAAGGCAACAAGGCAGAGAGCCATAGAGGGTCCTCCAGGTGACATCTGCCAACAGTCAAGCAAACCAAGCCCAGTCAGACATTTCTTTGTCCATTAACTCTTATGTACCTGCTTCCTGTTTGTGGACGTGATAGGATGTTCAGATAAACATTCATACAATAACCAGCCAGTATTGAGTCCCTGGCCTTTGTCCAGGATTTTGTCCTTCCTGATCCCCTGGAGTGGGTCACATGATTAAACTCATTTCACAGGTAAGTGACTTACCTGGCTGTCTGACTCCGAAATCTGTCACCTCAGTACCAGGGCTTTTCTCCTCAGCATGAAGGATCTTCTCAGCCAGATGACTGGCAGGGTTGTCATGGGCTGCCTCCCTGGCCCCTCTGCTGGAAGCTAGAACTCCCCAACACATCAGTCAAAACTACCTCAGACATTGCCGAATGTCCCATGTGGACTAAGTCCACGCCACTTGAGAGCAACTGGCCTGTGCCCAGCTATCCTTCTCAGCTAAGCCAATCTGATAAAAGTTGGCTGGGCTAGGGATGCCTGCCACTCTGGCAGAGTGCCTACCCAACATGCACCTGGGCTCAGTCTCCACCACCTCACGCATGAAACTAACCCAACCCCAGGACCACTCTGACCCTCATGGACCCCAGTTATCTCAGAGGCCCGCCTCCAATTCCCAACACCAAGAAGTCAGAGCCTCAGGCTGGTCAAGCACGCTGTGACCGAGTTCGTTCCCCAGAGCCCATGTGAAAGCGCATGGAGAGAACCAGCTCCGCAAAGCTGTCCTCTGGCTTCCACACCCATACGTGCGTGTGCACACACATCTGCCACACAGACACATCCACTACCACACCCACAATAATAATAGTTTTTTATATGTTATATATTACATAATTGGGGGAGCTAGAAAGATAGCTCAGAGCTTAAGAGCACTGGTTTCTTTGGCAGAGGACCAAGATTCAATCCGCAACACCCACATGACAATTTACAGCCACCTATAACTCCATTTCCGGGGACCCTAACATCCTCTTCTGGCCTCCTTAGCCACCTGCACACATGTAATACATACAGACAAATAGGCACACACACACATACACACAAACAAAAATATTCAGAACCTACAGTGGCATTTTTAAATATAATAAAAATGCATATTCTTTTTGTTTTTCAAAGTCAAGGGTTTCAACCTGTGGCCCTTGGGACCCAGACCAGGGAAGTGTCTTTAGAATCCACAGTCAGAGAGGGACTCAGCTAAGACTCGGGGTTCACCAAGGGTCTCTCTTCCTTCTCCTCCCCAGGCCCAAGAGGGATGTGAAGCCCCAAAATGACCCTGTTACCGGGAGACAACTCGGATTACGACTACAGTGCCCTGAGCTGCACCTCAGACACCTCCTTCCACCCAGCCTTTTTCCCACAGCGCCAGGCCATCAAAGGCGTCTTCTACCGCAGGGCCCAGCGGTTGCGCCCGCAGGACGACCTGCACCAGGGTAGCTCACTTGGGGACCGCAGGCGCCAGATCATCATCAATGTGGGTGGCATCAAATACTCGCTGCCTTGGACCACGCTGGATGAGTTCCCGCTGACGCGGCTGGGCCAGCTCAAAGCCTGCACCAACTTCGATGACATCCTGAGCGTGTGTGACGACTATGATGTGACCTGCAATGAGTTCTTCTTCGACCGCAACCCTGGAGCCTTCGGCACCATCCTCACCTTCCTGCGGGCTGGCAAGCTGCGGCTGCTGCGGGAGATGTGCGCCCTGTCCTTCCAGGAGGAGCTGCTGTACTGGGGCATCGCCGAGGACCACCTGGACGGCTGCTGCAAGCGCCGATACCTGCAGAAAATCGAGGAGTTCGCCGAGATGATGGAGCGGGAGGACGAGGAGGAGCCTCTGGACAGCGAGGACCCAGACACTGAGGGTCCGTCCACCAGTGAGGGCCGCCTGGGCCGCTGTATGAGGAGGCTGCGGGACATGGTGGAGAGGCCACACTCGGGGCTGCCTGGCAAGGTGTTTGCCTGCCTGTCCGTTCTGTTTGTCACCGTCACCGCCGTCAACCTGTCTGTTAGCACCCTGCCCAGCCTGCGGGAGGAGGAAGAACAGGTAAGGCTTTCTGTGACTCCAAAGACTGGCTGTAATTTCAATCGCCATTACCTTCCCTGGGCAGCCTTCCCTCACCGCACTGGTTGAGTAGCCTCCATGGTGCTCGACATCAAACTGTGTGGATGTGTTTGCATCCATCTTCTCTGCCTCCCCCCTGGAGTCAGTGGCTGTGACTAAGGAGTCAGTGTCCTAGTCTCTACTGTGTCCCCTACTCTCCCATCCTGTGAGATCTAGAACCAAACCCAAGAAAGAGGAGACTCTCAGCCTCTTCTGCAGACTGCAGGAGTGAGTGAGTGTGAATGAGACATGCCCGCCTCTGAGCTGGGCACATTCCAGAGGCCATCAAAACTGACCTGAGTCCTCTCTCCTGCTTCCTATCTCCCTTCTATAGTAATACCCCAAGCACCTTTTCTTAGTCATAAAAATTATTTTTATCCATAGGTCTGTGTGTTCGTGCATGTGTCCACCGGGTTAGCATGTCTCTGTGTACAGTAGGAAATTGTATATAAGACATTTACTGCCAGGCTGACACAGGCTGTGTGCCCCCAAAAGCCATGGGATGGGGGGAGGGGGGCTCTGCCCTCTGCCTCCATCTTGTCTTCCCTCCAGGTCCTCCTGTGACCCTGCAGGGGATATGTTTCTCACATCCACCCAGCAGTTGAGGATGCTGGGGCAGGCAGAGCAGTTTGCCGAGTCTAGGTTCATGAAACCCACAGTCTCTATGCCCCATACAGCAGCTGGAGACCCAGGATAAGCCCACAAAAGTACACAACTCCCCTACATAGCACCTCCCCCAAAGTGGACTTGGTTGAAATCTTCAGAACTATGGTTGGTGTTTGCCATATAAAAATGCACACTAGGCTTTTCTTACAGATGACAGAGAAAGGCCTTTGGTGAGAGCTGGGTACATGGGGGAGGTCTCCTAGTGACTCTCCTTACCTACAAGACCCCTGGGCCTGTGAGTTGTGACTCCTGCCCCACGCATACAGGAACAAGGTACACACTGTATAGGCATTTGAGGGATAGGCTTGATGACATGAAGTGAACATAAATGTCATGCCAGCCAGCATTTATTGAGCACCAACTGGACACCCTGTGTGTGCTAAGCATTTTATGCTGTTTGACTTAGCCTTTTCTTACCAGGGAAAAGTTCTTCTATCTACAGATATCATGGAGGATGTGATCATCACTACTGTATTTACAACCCAGAGGGGATTACTGGCATGGTCTTACACAGTGAAGCTTTTAAAAGGATCTTAAGAAAACATGTGGCTAATAAAATTAACTTTTGATGACCATAGGGACTGGGGACAAGGAGGAGGGCTGGAGCCTGAACCTGAATCCCATCTCATCCACTCTGGTAGCGTAGCTGTGGGACAGTTACTAGACCACTCTATGGCTCAGCTCCCCTCACCTGCCCAGGGGACTATGACCACTCTTAGTGAGTCTATGTAAAGGGATCAGAACAGAGCATGTTATCTAGTACCTGGGTTAGTGGCCCCCTACTCCATAACCATACAGGGGGGCTTATGTAAGAGACCTCCTATACACCTGAGGCTACTTAGGTGGGGTGCACTCCAGGAAGGTTTCCTGGAGCAGGAGGGATTCCCATCTCAGGTTAGAGACATCAGAGTCCCCAGGTCAGATCATGTCCCCAGGCTGGAGGGCATTTTCAGAAAGACAGACTACACAGGCCCTCTGAGAACCTAGCCATTTAGAAAGTCTCCAGCTGGGACATCTGTAGCTTTCCAGGGCTCCAGCCTCTTGGGAACTGTGTGCTAGGAGGATGCTGGCTAGGCATGTGGGTGAGGGGGACGCAGGCTGCCTGAGTTTTGTGGACTGCATCATCTGAGCACCTGTATCAATATTCTGATGCAGAAAGAAAGACTGGCAGAAAAGGAAAAGAAGGAGAGCCAGGCTGTGGTGGCGTACACCTTTAATCCCAGCACTCGGGAGGCAGAGGCTGGTGGGTCTCTGTGAGTTCAAGGTCAGCCTGGTCTACAGAGCAGATGCCAGGACTGTTACACAGAGAAATCCTCTCGTAAAACCAAAAGAAAGGGAAAAAGAGAGACAGAGGGAGGGAGGGAGGGAGGGAGGGAGGGAGGGAGGGAGGGAGGGAAGGAGAGGGAGAGGAGGGAGGGAAACACATACAAGGCACGGGAGCACCAGCCGCTGGAGGGGTGGGATTGCCTAAGTTGAGGAAATCGAAAGGCCCAGAAAATAGGAACCCAGCTGGCAGCTGCAGAGGAGTCTGTCTGGAGATCAGAATCATCAGCTAGAGCAGTTGCCCCCAGGGCCTGGTGGCATGGAGAGGCAGGGAAGAAGGGTGCCCAACCCAGGCTAGAGCTTCTTCCCTGCTGGCTTGCTGGTGTGACCCCTGCCCTGTCTCTCCGCAGGGCCAGTGTTCCCAGATGTGTCACAACGTCTTCATCGTGGAGTCCGTGTGCGTCGGTTGGTTCTCCCTTGAGTTCCTGCTGCGGTTCATCCAGGCGCCCAGCAAGTTCGCCTTCCTGCGGAGTCCACTGACCCTCATCGACCTGGTGGCCATCCTCCCGTACTATGTCACACTGCTGGTGGATGGCGCTGCCTCCAGCCGCCGCAAGCCAAGCACCGGGAACAGCTACCTGGACAAAGTTGGGCTGGTGCTGCGTGTGCTGCGGGCACTGCGCATCCTCTATGTGATGCGCCTGGCCCGGCACTCCCTGGGGCTGCAGACGCTGGGGCTCACAGCCCGTCGCTGCACGCGCGAGTTCGGGCTTCTGCTGCTTTTCCTGTGTGTGGCCATTGCCCTCTTTGCCCCACTGCTCTACGTCATCGAGAACGAAATGGCCGACAGCCCCGAATTCACCAGCATCCCTGCCTGCTACTGGTGGGCCGTCATCACCATGACAACCGTGGGCTATGGAGACATGGTACCTAGGAGCACGCCTGGCCAGGTGGTGGCTCTGAGTAGCATCCTCAGCGGGATCCTGCTCATGGCCTTCCCTGTCACCTCCATCTTCCATACTTTCTCCCGCTCTTATCTGGAGCTCAAGCAGGAACAAGAGAGGGTACTGATCCGCAGGGCCCAGTACCTCATCAAAACCAAGTCGCAGCTCAGTGGCATGTCCCAGGACAGTGACATCTTGTTTGGAAGTGCCTCTTCAGACACCAGGGATAACAACTGAGGCCAGAAGACATCCCTGCCCTGCCTGCCAGCTGCGGCTTCATGCAACCACCGTCACCAACCTGGAGTGCAACCGCCTGGAGACGGACGTTAGCGCTTTCAAGTCCTGCCCTGGCCCGGGACTGACCTGAGTGAGCCACACCACAAGAAGGATATGTGCCACATCACCGAGAGTCCCTGCCCTCCCTCAGAGCCCAGAAGTGAAAGGGAAGCGAGCTGAGGCCAGCACCTCACCCGCCCCAGCCTCACATCTGTTTCCCACCCTCAGGAGCCGACTGGCTCCTTTCCACATGTAAAGAACACACAGGGGACTGTGTGGAGAGAAGTCCAGACAGCAGGCGGCCACACATGACTTTAATTCGTCCACTGAGAAGGGAAAAGCCCTCCACTGGGGCTCTCGAGGAAGGAGCTATGTCTCTAAGTGAAGCCAGCAGCAGGGTCGCAGAAGTGAAAGGGCCATGTTGCTGGGGTCTCGGGGCTAGTGAGACCCCGGTGGGATGGGAGGAAAGGGAACAGACAGACCTCTATGGAGACCACCTTGGATGCTGTGCTCAGCCTCCTGCTGCTCCTGACTCCCAAGCCTGCCCTTCATCCTGCTTCCTGCTCACCTCCGCCCTGTCCTCTTTTTCTCCTTGAGAGCCCCCTTTCCAGACTCCCCTCATCCCAGTTGGGGGACACCATAAGCCGGTCAGCTCTACTGACTTTATAGGTGAAATTGCTTCATTTTGTGGCTTAAAATAAGTGAGATTTTAGCCCACTCCAATTTATTTTAATATTTTTAAAAAAAGCCCTTGATACACCTTACCAGATCCTCAGTCTCAACCCACAGTGGGCCAGTGCTTCCTGCAGATGCAGCCCTGGGAGGTCTTGGGAGTGTGTGGAACCTCCTCTGTGCCCTCAAAGGGAGCCGCTCCCGGTCTCAAAAGCATAGTTTGTGCACCAAGAGGGACCCTAGGCCAAGTTAGAAGACTCCATCCCAGCTCACTGTGTGAGTCCTGGGTGCCTGGCACTGAGAGGAAGTCACACATGCACATGTACACACATGCACATGTAACACATGCACACACACTTGTCCCCAGCCTCACAGGTGCAACAGCTTCCTTGACTGCTTTATCCCACATCCCAGCTGCCTTCTCTCTGTTCAGCAGCAGAAATTGCGCATTGAGACACGTCTGGTTCTGACTGTGGGCTGTGCAGCTCAAATCCCTGCCTGCTGCTACAGTCTCCAGCTTTTCCCACACCTCCACACCTGTCCAGACAGTCCACTGGCCCCTCCTACACCTCCACACCTGTCCAGACAGTCCACTGGCCCCTCCTACACCTCCACACCTGTCCAGACAGTCCACTGGCCCCTCCCACACCTCCACACCTGTCCAGACAGTCCACTGGCCCCTCCCACACCTCCACACCTGTCCAGACAGTCCACTGGCCCCTCCTACACCTCCACACCTGTCCAGACAGTCCACTGGCCCCTCCCACACCTCCACACCCGTCCAGACAAGCCTCCCTTCAGACACACCCAGCCCACCCCATCTCATCACGGGCCTTCACCCCTGCAGAGCCATCAGCTGGAATGCCCTCCCTACGGAACCTGCATGGCTAAATCATTCCTTTCGCTGCTTCCCTGACCTGAGCACCCACTCCTGCAGTTTCCCCATTTTCTCCTTCCTCTGCTGGATCTTCACCAGGTGAAACTCATTTCTCGGCTCCTGAGCTCTGGTTCGTCTCCTACAGGACCAGCTCAGTTTATACTGGTAGGGACTCTAAAGCGGTTCCCTCCCTGCTGCCTCCCAGGACCTCAGGCAGGTTAGCACCTAAGAGGTGCTCAGAAAACGTTTTTGAAAAGCAGAATAAAGGGGAAACAGCAAAAAGGAACAGAGATGGAAAATGTATCCATTACAGCTTAGATCTGAACTGTCCCTGACTCTCTAGAGCCATACCACCCCAAATGTGCCTGATCTCATGTGAAATGTCACCCAGAAGCTCACATGTCAAAGACTTGGTTCCCCATGCAGAGGTGGGACCTCTGGTAATGGGGTTATGAGGGCTCTGACCCCATCAATGATGACCCCATCCACAGCTTTCAACGACCGCTGGGAAGCGGTAGAAACGTAGAGAGGGTGGGGCCTGGTTGGAGGAAGTAGATCATCAGAGATCTGCCCTTGAAGGGTGTGTTGCTCCAGATAACTCCCTCTTGGTTTCTCTCTGCTTCGGCTCCAGTGAGGGGAGCAGCTGAGTCCCACGACATACCCCTGTTGGGATGCTGCCCCTTGAAGTGGGCCAGAAACAATGGAGGCAAATGGCCATGGACTGAGACCGGAAACCAAAGTAAACCTTCCCTCCTTCGAGCTCCTATCCTCTGGTGTCTTGTCATAGCAATGGTAGCTGTCTGTCACCGAGTTTATTTTTAACACTGGAGCCTGGGTCCCTGGAGCACCCACACACACACATCTTCTCCTTACCTCACGGGAAGACATAGCCATCTCTGCACGGCATACCCACAAGCAGGCGGAGTGGAAATACCATCCAAACCCCAAGGGCCTCCCTTAAAGCTCCTTTAAAGCTCCTCTGACGCCTGCTCCAGTGACTCAGCTCTGCAAAGAAAGTTTTCCTACTAATTAGCATCACCTTCCCTGGCCCAGCAGATGTCACAGTCCAGCCACTTCAGGGTGGCACCTCAGAGTGGTGGGATGCCCTTTCCCCCTCAAAGGTGGCTGTGAGAAACAGTCTATGAATGCATTAAGCAGGGTGTAGAGGGAGCCTTCTGAAGGCAGAGTGTGGGAAGAAATGCCACTTGTTGGGGAGGGGACCCTCAAACTGAAAACAGGGCCTGGAGTGTGTGGAGAAGCTGTGGGGTCTGTGGCCGGGGTCTCTAACCTTACCTTGCAGGTTTAGCCCTGCCCTGGTGAGTAAGGCTGAAGCATAGATTGGCCACCACCCAGGACCTCACCTAGGGATGAGAGGCTCCAGATTCCACCAACATAGTGAAGAGGACTCAGGCCCAAACTAAGAGACAGGGCACCTAGGACACCCAGCAAACTGTTCTAGAACAGAGGGCAATCTCTAGGCCAGGCATTTTGTCCTCATAGCCAGGGACTCACTGTCCATGGGCGATCTGAGGCTGCAAGACAGCTGTGGTCAGACCCAGATGAGAAATGGTCTGGTGTGACCTGTTGGCCTTGTGCGCAAACCTTGGCTCTAGAAGAATTTAGGAGATTTGGCAGTGTCAGTCTGTAAGTCACGTGGCTGTCCCTACCCAGGACTTGTCAGACACTTCAGAGTCACAGCGGACAGGAGCAGAATCCCAGCCCTGCCTCTGGAGTGGCCCGAAACCAAAGTGTGGTGACTGGGTACCTGTCTTTGACACCAAAGAGAGGGAAGGACCAGAAGACTCAGGTACCTCAACACTTCCAGCTTCACAATCCAAACACTGCCGAAACTACACAATGAGGAACATGTCAAGATTTCACATGAAAACAAACCTGACCCCGATCTCCTTCACACTTGGTCCCATCCTGTCCCAATGCCTCAATGTACCCAGGTGAGACACTGTTACGTAACCACAGCCTGTCTCCATGGGGGAGCTAATGGCTGTCAACACCTAACTATGGGCACGGCATCTGTCCACATCCTTTTAGAAGGATCAGGGAGCCATCAGCAACACCCTCTGCTCGGCCAACCCTGGGGACCAAGGCCTGATCCTTGTGCGGTCCACACAGTGACAGGGAGAGAAATCGTGATATGCGAATTTGGCAGAAAAGAAACTGACTGTGGGTGATGCTGGTGACTTCCCAGAGAGTGACAGGGTCAGGGGAGGCCATGAAGTCTGTGACCCCGGCCACTCCAGAGGCCAGAGCAGAAGCATTGTCTACTCAGTGCCTGCCTGGGCTCCCGGGGGACTTCAGGGCCAATCTGGGCAACTCTGGGAGAGTCTGTCTCAAAGTAAAAAGGGCAAAGAAGGTCGTGGGGCAGTATTCAGAGACACAGCATTCCCGAGGCCTTAATACCTCAAAAGGTATTTTTAAATGTTTGTCCAGAGAAGGACTTGCAGAGGAGATGACACTAAATACAGAGTGGCGACTCAAGCCGAGAGAAGGGCTGGCCTACACGTCCAGAGGTTGGGGGCCTTTCCACCAGCCTTGGAGAGAGCTGAGGACAGACACACACACTGCCGGACCACCTCAGGATCCCACTTATGCCGCATCAGGGCCTGGCCCCTGACTCCCTCGGCTGCCCCCATCTCTCGCTGTCCCCCCTCATGTCTCTTCAGCTGCCCTGCCTGCCTACATCACCCTCTCCTGGCTCTGGGCCGCAGGTCCACCCCATTACCTCCCAGCTGAGGTATCACAGGTACCGCCTCCCTGTTTCTTCCTGTTTCTTCCTTTCCTGCCCTCGGTCCTGCAGCCCAGGGACCCTGTCGGATCTCTCACATCTGCTCGGAGCCCAGCCCTGCCTGGCACCCTCACCCCTGCCTGTGGTACAGACAAACACAAACACAATGTCTCTGGGCATTTCATCCTTTTTGTCTTCACCAGCGTCACCACAGACCAAGGGCAGTTGCTGCTTCCTGGGTCTCAGTCCCTAGAGAGGGTCGTTTTCAAACCCACCTCCAGAGCCCTGACCCAACCACTTCCCGGGCGGGGTGGCCACCCCAGCACACAGTTCCTGTGCCATGTGCATTAGAACCAGGCACCAGGTGGCAAGGGATGGTCCCTGTGACCCGGAGACTGCTAAGATTCCTCAAACAAGCTAGTTCCGTGTCTGCCCACTCGCCTCCCCTCGCCTGTCCTCCCTCACACAGACGCCACAGGAAAAGGCCCTGATACAGGCCTCCTAGCCCCCTGGTATCTCCTGTGCCCCTCCCCTGGAGTGGCATGCTCTCTACCCTCGACATGCATGACAGGCTGACATACTGTCCTCACATGCTTCAGTAAGGGTCAAGCCTTCACTCATTTATTTCATGGTGGAACCCATGGCCTCACACATGCTAGGCAGGGACTCTCTCTACCCCAAGCTTTGCTTCCAGACCTCTTTTTACTTCTCATCTTCAGACAGTCCAGGTGGGCCCTGAACTTGTGATCCCCCTGCCTCAGCCTCCAGTGTCCCTGGAATTACAAGCCTGTATGACCAGGCCCAGCTTAAACCTATATTTTAAACACCTCTTTGCCCATCTCTAAAAGCCATACTACCAAATGATACATTATACAGTCGTTTGCTTGTGATCTTTCTGTCCCCCTTGATGCGCAACCCTTTGAAAACAGAGCCAGAAGCACCCTGTCTGGGACAGAGCCAGGCCCACACTGGCCCAAATGCACCAGCTGGATACCTGTGCACATAGCCTCGACCAGTTTACCCTGGGGTTCTGCTTGGAAACGGATTCATCCTGTGAGGATTGCTGTCCATCAACGGTCTTTTATGTTGAGTCAAATGGACGAGCAAGTGCTGTGGGGCTCATGTCCCAACCATAAAACAGCCCCACGAAGTTTTTCACTCGCTTCTCAGAAAAAAAATCACTGTTTACCTAAATGACGTGTAAATATCCAGGCTTGGCTGGAAATAGATTTAAAGTCACCAACTAGCCTTGCTTGAAAGAAAAAAAAAAAAAAAGGAGGGTAGAGGTGGAGATGGGGGAGGAGAGACTGAGTACAGAAGGAGGGGGGAGAGAGGAGGAGAAGGAAGAGGGGAGGGGGGAGGGACTAGCTCCTGAGGCCAGGTGACTGTGCAGCACCTACTGTCTGAGCACACTCTATTCTGTATACATGGGGCCCAGAAAGGAACACCTGTCACCTGCCCCTAGTGACAGGTCCGGTTAGTCGGTAGCTTGAGTTTATCTAAAAAGAGGATACAATAGGAAGCATCTTGCTTCGGAAGTTTAAGGGCATAACACATGTGGTCATCCACCAAGGCACCTGGGGACAGAATTCCAGGGGAGAGAGACCCAGGAGAATGCAGCCAGGCTTCCTTCCTCCGGCCTCAGCTGGTGATCTATCCCCCGGGGAGCTCCCAGGGAGTGCTTTAGTTTCACAGGGAAGGAAAATGGAGGGGGCACCAGAAGCAGACCCCCAACACCTTGAATCCCTTGTACGGAAGACCTGAGTGGCCCTACCCGCCCTCCACAGTCCTCAACACAACAGCAGCCTTGTCACAGAAGTGCAGGCTGGGACACTGATGGAGGTGGCCCTGCTGCAGAGCAATCCATGCCCGGATGAAGTTCTAGCAGGAGCAGAATAGGCTGGGGTGGTGATAAGTCACTGTCACTTGTATTGGCTGAGCAGTGACTTTGACATTGCTGGCCACAGACTGCTGCTCTCCTGTTTCTCTGACAGTCCTGCTTGTTCATCTCAGGGTCGGCTTTGGGGTTGGACCAGCTGAAGTAAATCCATCTTCCCTCACAAGCGAGTCCCCGGGAAGACACATGATCCTGTGGCCACTCAGAAAAAGCCAGCTTAGGACCACTGGGGGCACCCTGTGGAAAGGAGAAGCTCTGCCTCCTCTCTGCCTTGGATATGTCCCAGGCACATGGGGGATTGATGCTGCCAGTGGCTAGGCTAGGGGCCCACACCTTGAACTCTGTGAGTTCAAGGCCAGCCTGATCTATATAGTGAGTTCCAGGCTAGCCAGGGCTGAGACCCTATTTCTCAAAAAAAAAAAAAAAAAAAAAAGCACCTGTTGCTCTTCCAGTGGACCCAGTTCTGTTCCCAGCACCCACACTGTGCCTCATCATTTATTCCAGGGGATCCAACCCTTCTGGTACATATACAAACATGGAAGTAAACACACTCATATATAGATAAAATGTCTTAATTTTTTTTTTCAATTTTATAAAAAAGGGAAGAGGAGGAACCAGGGCTTCCAACACTGTATTCTCAAGAACATCACCTTCCCGGAATCTCTCTAGGAGAGACCTCTGTACCCAGAGATACCAGGGAGTGACTGCACATCCCATCAGGGCAGCCCACAGTGAGACTAAAGGTCATGGGTCCCAGACTTGGCCCAAGGATGGAGCTTATTCTGGGATGCCAGCTCTGTTCTAGGCTCCCAGCTTATTCTGGGCTTCAGATAAATCCCAGGCTCAGTGCCACCACCATGCTCAACTGGGAACTGAATTTCTGCCTCTGAGGGAGACGCGGCACTCCAGTGTGCCCAGGACCCACAGGGTTCCCACAGTGCTTCATCGGGGTTCACTTCCTCATGCTAACACCAGCAAAGTAGCAAGGAAACCAGAATGAGTGCGTTTGGCATCTCTCCCTGCAACCAGAAGCACTCCGGCTACGAGGCCAACTCCCTCCACAGGAGAGGTAACAAGGAAAGTGCTACTGGCATGTGATCTTTGGGGGTTATTTGGGTTTTTTTTT